AAGGTTCAGTAATGGATGAATTTAAGATCGACTTATAGCTTCCTTTTGTTTGTTTTCCACACTCACAATCAGATCATAATCTTCCATTATCAAATTTAAGGACAGGCAGTCCTCACACCATTTCTCCAGTAACCAAGTTATTGATGTACATAAAATTAAGGTGAGCAAGTTTTCGGTGCCATAGAAAACTGACCTCGGAGACTGCTTGTGACAAGAAACACAGTTGTGCTTTACCAATGACTAGATATATGTCTAATGGGAACATTGTTCCAGCAGCCTTTGATTTGATTAGACATCTTGATGTATCTTTCGTCATAATGTAGTTGTATTCATCATCGAATTCAACACAATGACCAACCTTGCGGAGTTTACCAACACTAATAAGATTGTGTTTTAAACCTTCAACATTTGCAACCATTTGAATCAAGAAGTTTCCATTTGTTAAGACACCGATCCTTGAATTGTTCCATTGGCATCATTTCCAAAAGTTAAGTGACCACCATGTGTTAATATCTTAAAGTCACAAATGTATTCCAACCTTCACGTCATGTGCAAGGAGCAGGCTCTATCAATTAACAATTCAATTTTGTGATCCTCCTTGAACATTGCATGCATAATTAATTACTTAATTTGGGCTCCCAAACTTGTTTGGGCACCGCAGCAACATGATATGATTTCTTAACAAATTTATGAAAAGAGAATGCAGTGCAGGATGTTGTTGTGGTGTGAGATTTTGTAACGTTTTGAGATGATATCTCATTTCGTAGACTTAGAGGCCTTTTTCTTAATGGGTGGATAAGTGCTAAATGTCAGTTTCTTTTCATTTATCCACAATGTTTGCCTAGGTCTAGATTTTTGAGCATAATCAATGTGTTTCTCAAGATTTCTTTTCATTTCGGACTTTTCTTTGTTCCTCTGATTGAAAACTACGGTGTCATCAATCATGACTTTCTTAAGTTTTTAATCAGGTTTAGAAATACTATTGCGGTGTTGTTATTTTTCATTGGTTTGGAGCTAATAGGTCTTTTGGACTAGGTGACCTGTTAGGACTTTTGTAGTTTTGATCCCTTTTTAACTTCTACAAAGAGATAAGTTTCACAAAGTTACTATGTGCAGAGTTGTTTTGAAATGATTTTTCTACTGTAGAGTCTTTAGAAAGCTTTTTCTTTGAAATTTGTGACTTTTTGTTTTCTATAACATTGAGATTTGAGTCAGCTTGCCTTTTCTCAATACAAGATTTAATTTCAACTTTTAAGGCCTGCTTTGCTTCATCCTTTGGTGACATAATGTAAGATTTGTTCTATTTAGCTCTTTTTCTTTTGAAAAGTCTGGCCTTGGGTATAGTTCTTGGTGAAGAGTCATTTTAATTTTAGAGTTCATGTGTGACATCCCCAAATTTACAGTCATTTTAAAATTTTTATTTATGCTTATTTTAAAACAGAGTATTTCTTTTGTTGCAAAATTGGTCCCAAAAATATTATTTCAATGTGAGATAATATTAACATTAAAAGTTTCCGAAGGAATATTCGATATTGATATTCTTTCAAAACTAGGGATGTCATAAATGATACAAAACATAAGCATAAACAGACCTTACATTAATTTACACTGATGTTTTACGTCTCCTTTAATCTCTCGGTGTAATGTTTCTTTGCATCGATACCTGCGATATAAAATAACTTAGTGGGTTAGGTTGGGAAACTTAGTGAGATACATAGGAATTTCAATCCCACAATGTTTATATATATATATATATATATATATATATATATATATATATATACATATATATATATATATATATATATATATATATATTAGTATTGAAAAACCAATTATTACCAAACAATATAGATGTGCACCTAATTTTGATATGTACATACACTCATACCTAATCCTACCCGTACCTAATCGATCCTTATAGATCCTAGTCTATGATTATCAAGAGGGAATATCTTGCCTGATGAATCGTTTAGAAATATGCAGACATACCATTACACTTGTCTAATCAGGACCTACCATTTATGGTTATCCAAGTATATGCAAATATACCATTACAGTTGTCTAATCGGGACCAACCATATCTGGTCATCCCAAGGGGAACACTATATCGTACTCCCATACAAAGCTACTATACATAAACACCTAAAAGTGTCAAGGAACATAATTCTACTCTTCGTTCCTAACTTACACACACATATACTAATTATACTATCAGATATCAAACTTAATTAGATTAGTCATATATTATTAATGGGTATAACTACCAAACCTCTAATACCAACTCAGTCTAGATAACACTAACCTATGTTAGTGTATTTATATTTAGCGTAGAGTATTTTAAGTATTAATATAATTTTGTCTATTTCCCTAATGATATTTCTATTATTGTTATCATGCGAAAATAGACATATACCTTTTTATCCTACATAGAACCATATCTGGTTCGCATGTCTACATTTCTAACACATAAACTAGAAAATAAGCATATAGCTCGCACATAAACTTTCTAACATATATTTAATTCTTTATATAATATTTGTATTAAAATCATGTTCATGAAATGGACTATGAACTCACTTGATAAAAGTGGATGCCGCAGAATTTGGGCAGAACCTCGCCTTAGGACTTTCAGTGACCTAAATGTATAACAGTAAATCTTAGTCTAGTTTCATAATCCCGACGACTATAATTATAGTCATGATTCCTCACTAATTTCAATCTCTAAATCAAGATCTATCAAGTAAGGATCAGCCAGGAAGGACAGTTGGGAGGCAGGATCATTTCGGCATAATAGATTTTCTGAAATCCAACAACCACGCCCACATAACATTTCTAGACACCTATTCCGTAAGTAGATCAATCAATATAACGACTTGGAATTACTGATAAATCTTATTTATAGGTTCATAATGATGACTATGACTATAAATATAAGTTATAGTGAAAGAATGAGAGTGTAGCTTAACTTACATATATTTCTTGGAAAAAAACTTGAGAAATTGCACTAGCAGAGCTTCTACTTGCTAGCTATTACTACTTCAGGGATTGCAAGCCTTCACCGAAGGCTAAAACTAAGAAAAAATGGACTAAAATCAAAAGCAACTCGAGAGAGAAGATACTTGGGAGGTGTGGGAAGGAAATGAGGCTTGGCCTCCTATTTATAGCTGTTTTTGGGGTGCACGGCGTGAAAACGGGGTGCACGCCATGAATTTGAAGGTGACATCTCCCCTGCCACTTTGTGCCATCTATCATGCCAGGCTCTCTGCAGGGCACAAATCACGGATTTTGTAAATTCCATAACTTCTTCATATGGGCTCCGTTTTTGATGTTTTTTTCCAAACATAACTCTCAACTAGTACTACATCTTTCCTTTAGGATCTATCGGCTAATTCTGACTTTAATTTTATCCCTTATTTTTATATGAGTTAATGATTTTGCAAAAATCAAATTTGTCTCGTACGCACTCTGATTTTGGTGTTCGTTTTACCAAAATTCTTATCTTAAGGAGTACTACTACTTTCATTTTGGTGACTTTACCCTAAAGCCAACCATTCTCTTCGTACCTTTTGACGTTAATAATTTTTAATTACACGGTTGATTTTTATATTTATAAAAACCATATCTCTTTCATATGAACTCAGATATCTATGAAATTTATATTTTCAGGATCACGTAGACATATACATTCAATATATATATATATATATATATATATATATATATATATATATATATATATATATATATATATATATATATATATATATATATATATATATATACCAATTTGATTCTGACGCTTAGTTACCTTTTACCAATCGAAGAATAGTTTGCTTTCAACCTAATTCAGGTGATCACATCCACTCTTTTTTCTTATTGAACTTTTATCTTACTCGTATCATATTTTCATTTCGGTTTTTTCTAGACCAGTTTGGTTTAACGGGCTTTGGTTCTTTTATCTTACACGATAACGTACTTTCACTAAACAAACATAACGTGTGATCTCTTTTAATCTTCTTACTTGAATAAAAATCATCTATTCTTTTGATTTCTTCTAAACTTGTATAGAAAAGTCACCTATTACATTTGATTTCTTCTAAATTTCCAACTTGCAGAGGACGAAAAATACGTAGACGGTATATTGTTTTTCTTTTCGATGATTGATTTTCCTTGAACATACGACATAGTTTCATTTACGTCCGATTCGATTAATACAATTTATCATTACATTCATTTCTTTTTCTTTATTTTAAAAATCACACAATGCTGGGAATATCATTTACTAATAAAATATATATCTATAATGTATGTATCGAGAAAATACAATTGGTCGTAAAAAACCAAACCATGGGATCATTGGTTGGATTGTGGAAAGGTGCGTGGATGAGTTCAGAAAGATGAACTTTTGTCCAGGACAAGAAGTCGACTTTCTTCTCATAATATTCAATCCGTCCGCTTTTCCGCTTCACAACCCACATTTTCTTTTCAACATCATATCCCCACATCATAATGCCAGAACGATCCCCATATTTATCTGTGGATTTCTTTCTAGTTTCCCTGAAAAACATCTCAGGGTGATCACCTGGAGCATTTTGGTCTGAATGCTTCTTCACTAACATCTTCCTTTTTAGCTGATTGACCCTGATTTGCTTCTCTCTTCTTTCTTGAGCAGAAGTAGGAGCGAAAGATAGGAATAAATCAAGATTAGCATCTGGAGCAGGTCTTACAACTCTTTCACTTGTAGGCTGAGAAGTTGGATTGGCAACACCTGAACTAGAAGCAGAAATCTTTTCTCCTTCAGCGCTTAAAGGTTAAAATTCATCACCAAACTTTTAATGTAAGCGCTGTTTCAGGTTAAAGAATAAAGCAGTTAGACCACTAAGATTTGATTGAAGTTCTGAAGTCTTTGCATCTTTAATGGAGCTCTCATTTTCAAGCTCACTGATTCGAATGTCCTGCTTTCCGATAATTAAATCCTTTTCAGCAGAACTTTGTTCCTAAACAAAGACTCTGTTCTGAAGCAGAGCGACATCCAAAAATTCAGACTCAGGCATATTCATTTTGCCTTTGGAAATGTCCAACTCGGGGGTTTCAAAAGAATTTCCAGAAGCTTGAGCTCCTTTAGAAGGCATAACTACTTCTTCAATAATAGGGCTTTGAAAATCCTGATCCAGAGGAGTGGACTCAGGTAACGGGCTTGAAATCTCTTGAATCACTGGAGTGGACTCAGTGACTGGGCTTGGTATGTTTTGAGCCGTAGAATCAGGCTCAATCAGTGTAGAATCCTTGTGAATAACGTCTGTGATAAGCATTACGGGCCTAGGATCTCTTCTTTTACGCTTCCTTGGGAGTAAAGCGAGGACGGAGTCTACTAGATCACTTCTAGATGGAGGTTCAGTATCAACATGAATTGTTTGGGGAGGCTTCCTTGCAGTTTGCTGAAGTTCTGCAATAAGTGCATCCATCTGTTCAGGGGTGGGTGAGGAAGATTGCACAATTGTGTCCCTTTCTCTTTCAGACATGCTCGGAGGTGTAACAGATATATCCTCATCAAGAATTGAGATACTTTGTTGAATGTAATTTTCAAAATCATTTTCTGACAATTCCTTTTCTTGAGCTTCTTCTTCATCATCATCAGATACTTCAATTTCTTCAAAAGAGAATTGAAATTTTGGTTTAGGTGCCACGTGTTCCTCGGCAACCTCATCATTAATGGAATTAGCAGCAGGAGTGTTTTCAACTTCAGGAAACTTTACAAACTTAACCAACTCCTTCAATCCTCGATATGCGACTTTGGCAGCCTTTCTTGATTGCTTTAGGAGTCCAAAGGTGTTGGGACCCAAAGCTTTCATGTCCAAAGTATCACATGACCTCTCAATTTGGGGATATTTCTCATTAAAGATCATTTGAAGGAACCTAGGGTACATCACGAATAGATCCTTTTTCTTTCCCATAAGGTTGCTCTTCATCTCTTCAAAAACGAACTTAGAGAAATTGTAATCTCAGCCATTGTCAAGCCAAAGCGACAATGGCTGAGGTTATAGTCTGACTAATTTCATCAGAGCCCGCCTTCCTTCCAGAAATGCAAATCACAAAAGAATGTGCCTGGAACCTCCAGTAGGGTGGCAGTAACTTCTTGATGGTGGGAGGATAGGTTCCTTCATAACAAATATTTTCAAGAACTTCCTTGACTTGATTAGCAGGGTACTCAATTGGGAATGCAGAAGCATCACCAAATTGAAGTACCTATCAGATAACTTGCTCATAAATAATTACTTGTGTTCCCTTCACCATCGATTCAACAATACCACCTCCATATGCTCCCTACTTGTTGATCGAAGCATTTTTCCAGAACTCAGTAATCAGATCTCTGTGGATGACTGGATTAGCACGAACGGCTTGAGAAATTCTGCATTTGTTCAAACCCACCATCATGGATTTGAATTCTTGATGAGCAGCAGGTGGATCCATTAGATACCCCGCAATGTTGTGAGAGTCCACAAATTTTAATTGCTCTACCATTTATCTGCACCAAACTATCCAAGTGAGAATTGATTTAAATTTTATTAAATAAGTCTAAAAATTAATTAAACTGAAAATGAAATTTTATTTGGTTAAAATCAAGGTTTTAGTCGATTTCGGTCAAAGACAAAGTTTCAGTCGTTTTCGGTTAAAGTCAAGAATTCAATCGATTTTGGTCAAAACTCATCGATTTCGGTCAAAACTCTTGCTGACTAAGATGATTTCGGTCGACGCTGATAGATTTCGGCCGAGAACCTAGTTTTCGGTCAAGCCTTCATCTGATTTCGGTCGGATCCGGGTTGAACCGAAAACTCAAAATTTTATCGGAAACTGTTCCAACCCAGTTCTTTGAAAAACCTTGAGAAATTTACTCAAAAACCTGCAAATCTATGAAATCGAGTACAACAAAAACAACATCAATTCTATTGTCACAATTGAAAATCCAATAATTACCTGAATCACTGAACGATTTTGCAACAAAATAACGAATGAGAAGGATTTTGCAGAAAAACTCGAAGAGAGAAAGGAGAAGAACGACGATGATGATGGTGGTTGTTTGGGGTTTTTCGGTGCAAAACCCTAACCAACCGAAATTAGTATATATATGACCAAAAAACCCTGATGGCTCACTTAAACCGATTTCGGCCCAAAGAAAATTAACCCATTTTTTCTTTTGACTTTACATTTCAAAAACCAAAACGAAAGAGAAAAAAATAAAAATAAATTTTAATATATTAAATACACTTTTTTAAATATATGTTTTTTATTTTTATTTTTTTAATTTTTTAATTGTTTATTTATTTTCTATTTTTTTATTTTATTATTTCACCCCCTAAATTTGTGCATAACAAAAAATATGTACAAATTTAAATAAATAAATAAAATGTAATCCAGAACAAAAACTTTTTGGGATCAAACGTTATGGAGCAAATTAATAAGGTTTATCAGCACACACGTTCATGAAAAGCTCTGGTCAATCATTGATATTGTGATCCACTTAAACACAATGACATTTTTCAGGACATATTATGAGTGACAATATATAGCTATTATATTCCTAGATAGACCATTTTGTCTGACGATGACCAGGGATATTATTGTCCACTTAAATTTAGCCAGTAAAATCTACCAGTCAGCCCTAGTATTCGAGGAAATTTCTTCGGAATCCTTTACTTTAGGTGAGTAGTTAATCATTGTGGAATGTATATGTTGTGTCCCAGGTCGGATCTACCGATCACGCAGAGGGGACAACATATGACTAACATAGAGAGTAGAATATTTGAGATTTGTAGGAGACAATATACTGACTTGAAAGAAGTGAACATTATCTGAGTGCATATGCTGTGTCCCAGGTCGGATCTTCCGATCACGCAGAGGGGACAACATATAGCTGACTAAGAAAGAAACAAAAACGATTTTACACAGACCTAATTTATCAGAACCCTTCAGTCACGCCCTGTCAATACCAGAATTAAGAATACAAGTTCATATGCCAGTGAAGTGTTGAACCACAGATCTAGATGATGGTTAGCTTCAATTTATGTTAGAGGCCTCCTTGTCTATTTTACTGTTAAATCTATCCGAACGTCGTATTGTCAGTCCAAATGAGGTTTTCTAAGTTCAAATGAACCCACATTGTCTAGTCCATTAGTCTTAGTCCTTTATGCCTACCAACACATTGAACACAGAGTTCAGACAATTTAGCTTTAGTGCTTTACACGTATTTCATTTTCTCTTTATCAGTAACTCATATCAATTCCCAAAAGACTATCACAAAAATTTCCTTTTCTAAGAATAAATCAAAATGGAAGAAAATAAGACATACTAAATAAAAATGAAAATAAATTTCAGTTTTCGAAACGTATCATCTTAAGAAATCCCATAAGCACGAACTTGGTTTTAGAAAAATAGGTTTCTGGCAATTGAAAATCAACATTATTATCACAGAGAATGGAAGTGTCAGAAAATTCAAACCGTAATTCAGCAATTGAAGAAATCCCCATTTGTGATCTTTCCTTTCCCTTTCCCGCAAAGGACACATGCTATCCATTAAAATTCTGAATGGCATGCAGAAGAGAGATGTCCCCTGTCATGTGCCAGGAAGAGCCAATATCAACATACCGAAGTCTGATGATATTCCTCCATAGCTGCTCCGGTACAGAGTGCGGGATTAATTTGTTTTGGGAACTCAGTCCATTTTGAAACTGGGTTGACCTTTTCCATCCACGCATGATGTGCGTTCCCAAGTCATATCCTGTTTATCAAACACAGAAAATGAAGAAATGTTAGAATTTTTGGGTGATTTGGGAGTTGAAACTTTTGGTACCCATCTGCAGTCAGGTTTAACCATTTTCTTGTTTACTCAGATGGATGCTTCAACACTCACTTTGGAGCTTGAGACCGATTGCTGAGATGACTTTGAACTTACCGATCTTGGTCTCACAGCAGATCTGTTGTCAGACATGACCTTTTTGTTCTTGAGAGTCTGATTTTTGGTCTTTTTAGCATTCCAATCACCATTTCTTTAACGTGACCTCGAAGGATTTCTTGTGTAAAATCTCCCCCTTGGCACGTTCTGCCACCCTTGTTTATAGTTGTAACGCCCGCAGATCCGGGCTAGTCAATTTAGAGACGATGGGCATCAAAATGATTGAGTGATTTTGAAGGATATTATTTAGAAGGATTTAATCTTAACCAAGTCTCTAGTATATGTTACAAGGGTTCCGTACATATAATGAACGCCGAAATCCGAGTTATAACGAAGAAGTTATGGCCCGTCGAAGTTTTACGGCAAAACCGGCACGACACCGGGAGACGTAAATAGTGAATTTACGGTAGAAGACTTTTTAGCCTTAGTGATCTAACCAAAATTTGTAGTATACGTTAAACCGAGAACATACAAAAAAAGAACGCCCAAATCTGACTTCGTATGACGAATTTATGAATTTTCTAAGATTTGGCAGCCATGCACGGCCCGAAACTCGAATTTTAGTTCGAGCGTTTTTTTGCCCTACGCGACCTAAATGAGAGTTTTGAAGATCTCATTAATGGAACTCAACGGTAAAAGACAGACAAAAAAGGAGTCCGTATGTAGAAGTTATATGAATTTTACGCGGACATTTAACAGTATAATCTCCTCCTACTGTTAAATTTAGAGAAGGTAGAGAATTAGCCGACGGAGTCTAAAGGAAAGTTTTAGATCTTGTTTTTACCTACCCGTGGATATAAAGAATGCCGAGAGTAGAGCTCGTATGTTAAAGATATGGACGAAACTTGTCCTTACTCTTCGGTGCGATAAATTCGATATAGTTTTGTAAATCTGAGATAGAATGAAAGTAGCTGACGGCGTCTAAATGAAAGTTGTAGTAGTCCGTTAATACCAACACGTGGATATAAGCGTCAAAAATGGAGTTCGTATGAACGATTTACAAATTATAATAGCATATTTATGGATTAAAAAGAAGTATAAATCATAATAATACGTACACATATATATATACAATGTATATATCATTAGAAAGGTATTGAATGATGCGTTTATATAAGACTAGTGTTGTGAGTACTTTCGACATTAAGTTTAAGTACAATAATCGTTAAATCTATTTAAAAAGTAGTATGAAGGAGTGTTTAGTCGTTTATATAACTATAAGATCATTCAGTAATTATGAAGGGTAGTTTTTTGTAAATTCAATTACTATAAATAAGAGGCTTGGGCTCTCATATTCTTGCACCATTCTCTTGATTCAAGATCTTTTCTCTCTTATCCCCGAGCAGTTCGGTCCCTCGGGATGCGACGTCTTTTCTGTAGTTTTAGTATAGTAAGGTGAGTGCTGAAGCGTTGCACGAATCTTTCTTAGAAAGATTCAGCGACGAAGTTCTCCTCTTGCAGAGCCGACTCTTAGCTAAAACCCCATGTAAGTAGTTATGCTTACTATTTTATATAGCTTATATTTAAAATTAGTATTGTTAATTATGAACTTATAATAAATATTTTTGAGCTATTATTATGACTTATATAAGTGGTCGTTATATATCTTTTGAACTACTCGCGGTACGGGGGAACTGGTTTAAGGGCCGCATATGATTGTTGATTTCAGAAGTGCTATATGCCAAAATGGTCCTGCCCTCCGGGTTTATGTCTGGCCCCTGTCTGTACATAGTGGGTGAAGTATTGTTTAAACGCTTATATAATGATTAATAATAAGACTAATAATTAGTCACGGTAAAATATTAGACTAAAATCTAGTGGTAATAATACTAGGTTTTCGTCGAAGGAAATTATTTTGAAGTAACGAAGCGTGTCCGGTACCGAGTCCACCGCCTTATCAAT